AAAGAGGGATGTGTTCTTCGGTCCCAGACAAGGCCATATTGTGCCATCATTCCCATGCTTCCCAGCAAGTGGCAGCCGAGCGCAGACAGGCAGCGGTAGCATGGTGGGGACTGATCCTTCCTTGTTGGGTATGGATGTGCCATTGTGCAACAAAGCTTCTTTCTGGTCCCTGGACCGGGCAGCGAAGATGGATCTGGACTCTGGAGACAAAAAAGATGGGCATGATAATTYTTTCTACAACGGTACGAGAGGGATTAGTTTGAGGGATGGATGACCGACCATCAACGAGGTTACTTTGAGCAGCTCAGACTACGACGGTAAGTGGGACTTCCCGGATGTACCCAACTGCACTTACGGCCAGCTGTGGATGTATTTGACTGCCATTGCAGTCGGGTACGTCGTGGATGTACTCATACGTAGAGATCAGTCGAGGAAGTCCCAGTGTGAGTATCAGTCAAGGAGGTCCAGCCAGCGGGAGTATGGCCTTAGTCTCATTGTTGTCAGACTTGCAAGGAGGTCCCAGCAAGAAAGTTCGTCGCAGAAAGAGTGCACTTCGGTTGACCTGATGAATGAAGCCCTTTGGATGTCTCAGACGAGATGGCCGGGCAATGGTATTGCCAGATCATCCCGATTGGAAATCCAGAGTGTTTCTGCCAGCAAATGAAATGCTAAAGTGTCTCACACTGCCGTCTTCACCCGAATAGAACGCCCCCGGTCATTAGAGCTGTACTTGGTGTAACTTTCAGTCCAAGTACAGCCATAATGACGGCAATGACTTCCGAACGTATCTGACTGCAACGACTGCCAAACCTGGATGCATCTGCCTGCAATTGCATCCAGAGCTCACTTGGAGAAGCTCTAGTAGACCTCAGAAAGCACCGGAGATGCGAGGAGAGTGTAGAAAAGGAACCAAAAATGACTGTCCTGGATCGAAGGGGTTTTTGACAGCTAACATAAGCAGCGTGGTCCCTTGATCTCTGCGTTTCTCTGACTGCTTAATGCATACCATGGCTATGCCTGCAGTTGCTGAATGCATACCGTGGTTATGCCTTTTTCGAGTGTTTTGGCGTGCGATTCCAACCTGGAAAATGGACAATAAATTCAATTTGGTGATAAAGAAGCAGGTCCATCATGGCTCACCCAACCTGGAAAATGGACCTTGGATTCAATCAGGTGAGGGCAAGGCGGTGGTAATCATGGCTCATTCAACCTGGAAAGGGGGGGGGTTAGAAAGGGGGTGACATGGGACTCAATTTGGTGACAACAAGAGGGTTAATCATGGCCAATCCAATCTGGACAGGAACTGGACCTGGAAAGAGGACCTTGGATTCTGTCTGGTAAGAACAAGGGGTGGTAATTTACTAATTTTGCCTCATCTGACCTTGAAAGCGGACCTGAAAAAGGGAGAACATTGGATTCAATTCCGCGCCAACAGGAGTTAATCATGGGTCAGCTAACCTGTAAGCCTGTAAGGGAAGTGGACCTGGAAGGAGGGCCTTGGATTCAGTCTGGTATGAACAGAGGGGTAAGCGCGGCTCATCTAACTGGAAAGTGGACCTGAAGAGGAAGGGACCTTGGACTCAAATCGGTTGCTTTTGGTGAGAAAAGGAGGGGTAATGATGGCTCACCTCACCTCACTTGGAAAGAGAACCTTGGAAAAGGGGTCCTGGAATCAATCTGGTGAGAAAATAAGGGGTCAGTCATCCATGGTTCGTTTAAGCTGAAAAGCGGACACAGAATCAAAATGGGGGGAACCTTGGATTCAATTTTGAGATAACAACAAGGGGATAACCATGGTTGGTTCACACAAGCTGGAAAGTGGACCTGGAAAGGGAACCTTGGATTCGATTTGGTGACGGCAGTGGGATGGATGCTCATTGCTCAGGAGCAAGCAACGGTTTAATAGCTGGCAGTGCCCTCTCCAATCAGTTTGTGTGAAGTGTCATCACAGCAAGTGTCTTTCGTTTTTGAAAAGTGGAAAAAACTTGGAAGTCCGTGATACACGATGAGCCACAATTATTTTCTTTGTTTTTTTTTTCTTTCCCCTGAACCATAGGCTTGTGGCGATGAGCCCTTCCATTCTGCAGAATAGCGCACCAGGTTTCCTATAATTTCGGAAACTGGCAGCTTAATGGACTACTTACCATACATGGAGCATGCACCGAAGGACATGTGTCAGACTCCCCATCATCACTATGGCACGGAGATCAATGGTAATCACTTTTTAGAATGATGGTTACATCAACTTACATGCCCATTGGGGGTTATATCAACCCTCCCATGGGTCCCATAATTGCATCCCATTTGTAGTGTTAGCTGCTTTACATGTACCGAAAGGGAATACTTGATGCAGCTGCATGGATGACGTAGTGAGTCAAGAAGCCAGTCACCTGGATTGTATATGAGGGACACTGTTGACGCGATAGGAACTGAACTTGTGACCTTCCGTCAAACACAGTGGATCGCCTTACAAACAGACCAAGCCTTGGAAAACGGCTCACCCAACCTCAGCAGGTACTGTCAGCCTGTCAATGTACGCTGTTCACGTGATCGGAACTTRACCTGTGACCTTCCCTCAAACAGAGTGGATCGCCTGACAAACAGACCAAGCCAGCCCGGATGAAAGTGAAGTCGCTTGGAAAACGACTCACCCCACCCCAGCATGAGCTGTCACTCTGTCCACGTACACTCGTGACGCATAACAGGAACTCAACCTGTGACCTTCCCTCGAACATGGTGGATTGCCTAACAAACAGACCAAGCCAGCCCAGATGAAAGTGAAGTCGCTTGAAAAACGGCTCACCCTACCCCACAAAGGAGCGTTAGCTGTAGTTCGATGAGAATCCGTTCAATTTCAGATAGGTGATCGAAGAAGCGCCAGTCGTTGGGCAGGTACTGTCACTCCGTTAGTATTGCCTCAGTCATAATACCACCAATGTCAATGTGTCCATTGATCGGGAACTACATTGCACATGATGAGCATAGCACCTCACGGCACCATCCCCATGCATTGATTGTTGCCAATCACTGCTGCTGCAAGGTTAATTGACTAGCCAAAGCCGAAAAGAGTGAGTGCATTCTGTCTGTCTGTCTGTAATCCTTGTGAGGTTTGTTTGAAAAAAAAATCAACAGCTCTCCAGCCCATGTGGCTGAATGGTACACAGTAAAATACGCACATGTAACTGTTAGTAAACAGATCATGAGTTCACAGCTTCACATCCTGATGGAATCAGATGAACGCAACGAAGGTACAGGCTACCGCTCTGAAAGCAAACGTGGACATAAATAAAAAGAAAAGAAGTTCAACAACTAGGAATTTGTCAATTTGATGCACGGCGTTGGATGCCAACTCTCCCTCAAAAGAGTCAAAACGACTCCCACAAAGAGAGAGGAATAAACCAAGCGCAAATGGAGGTCAGTCGTGTCGTCAACAGACCCTCCCGATCTGAACCTCTCTACCAAGACAACGTATGTCAGGAGCTCAACAGATCTGCACTGGTGTAAGGAAGGTCGAAAAAATGCAGAGTAGAAAGGGGGGTGGGTAAGAATGGGAAGAGATCAKCTCCTCACACACTGAAACACTGCTGGATCGAAAACGCACTCTGAGCTGCGCCACTGGTCAGAGTACTGGTAGCTTTCTCTTGAAAAAAAATAATTGTGTCAGATTGGCAGTGTTGTTTATATATGCCGATTGGATGGCGACCTTTGCCAGAGACCTCAGTCGGGGATTAGGGGTAACCTGCTGTTGTGACGCAGGGTTATCTATCCCCTGTCAAACCACAAGTACTTTTGACCCTTCCCTTGGCGAGCCTGGAAGTGCCCTGCGCGCGAAGAAAAAAAAAAACTGGACCGGTGCAGGCCTTCTTTTGGCTGGCGCGGCCAGCCATTTTGCCGCGGTAGGCTGACCCCTGAAACTTGCAGTCCCATGCGCACCGCATTAGAGAAAAATGGCTGGCAAACGCCCTGGTGGTTTAATCACCTTTTTTCCGCAACAGGAGGAGGATTGCGGAACTAACGAGTTGTGCTGTTCACTCGCCACGTTTGATGAGCTGGCTAGCCTCTAGCAGCATGGGACAGCCTTTTTGTCAAGGGGCCTCTCACAAAGACTTCCTGTGGGTGTTCGCTCAGGTTTTTTGGAAAAGCAATCTTTCTTTCGTTTTTTTTCTTTTTTTTATGAAAACAGAACCTCATGGTTCTGGCCCCTACCATTCTGGGGAGCAACAGTCCGGTTCCTATTCCCCCGGCAAGTCAATGGTGAATACAATAAGGGTACGCATACGCTCCTCCGCATCATGGCTGGGAGGTCCGAGTGGACGGCATTGATTACTTCCTTTTGGAAGGATGTACCACCCCTCACCCCTGCCTAAGTCAGCCTGCTTGACTTAGATCCTGACTCTGTAGGTCTGCTGGCTTCGTCTACTTCTGTTTGTGATTTGTGGCGTATCTGTGTAGGTCTTGACTAGGTTACTCCTCTCAGCTACTCGGCTGCCGGAGAAGATTTAAGTGCTGAAGTTGCTGGCCAGACTCATTAACTGTCGATTTTGCTAAGTAGATAAAACCTTAGGGGTTCTGGCCTTGATAATGTTATGAATTTTTCTGTAAATCTGAAGTTGTAGATAGCTTCTAAGGCTTATGCCTTACATGCTAAACCCTAACCCCTGACTCTCTCTCTCTATCTCTATCCGTGTTTCTGGATTTTGCAATCTAAGTCTGCAATCTAACACGTTTTTGACCTTTTTGGTGATAAGGAAAGGAAGCCACATTTTTATTGACATGACTGTAAACGCTGCCCACTGCCCAGCACCCCTTACATAAGATACTCACTTGACGCTTCCCTCCGTTATGGCCGAGGGACATCCTTCCTGGAAAAGGAAGTAATCAATGCCTCTAGAGACGAAGTCATCAATGCCAGAGCATTGATTTGATAATTTTGATTACTTCCTTTTTCCAGGAAGGATGTACCACTGCTCTGCAACTGCTAGTTCTGTCCCGCTGCTTGTCATTCTCCTGTCTGCTGAATTACTTCTCTCAGTCCTGACCGGCTGCCTGCTGGCTTCTTGAAGACCTGGAGCTACTTCCTGTCTTATCATTGCCCATTGAATCTTCACACGTATCTGTTTATCAGAGCTGCCTCCACTTTGAAGTTGTTGTACACCCCTTTCTCTCCTTGTCGTCCGGTCTGGCGGCCGGAGTCGCCAGACCCTTTTTTTTTTTTTTTTTTTTTTTTTTTGCCCTTCCTGAGAGCTGCCTCCCCTTTCTCTCCTTGTCCTCCAGTCTCGTGGCCAGACTGTTTTTTTTTTTTTGTTTTTTCCGTGTTTCCTTCTAATGACTACTCCCTAGATCTGGGAAGGGTTCTGCTTTGCTTAGACTTGCTGCTCTGTGACAGCTTCTCCCTGACTGGTCTGTTGAATTGTCCATTCGAATGTCCTCCTTTCTGCTCGAGTTAACTGTAGGCTGCTGATTACCTTTTTTTTTAACTAGAATAACTTGTCTTTATGGCATAGCCCTCTATCCATTCTCAGGAGTCTCAGTCCGTTTTTTTTCCGCTTTCCCTTTTTTTTTTTTTTTTTTTTTTTTTTTTTTTTTTTTTTTTTTTTTTTT